CTCCTCCTCCTCCGTCACCTCTCATTGACCCGGATGTCCTGAGTCTCGAGGAAGGAGTTGAAGTTCAGCTCGTACAGGATCATGAGGTCTCGATCGCTGTGCAGCTTGCCGTCCTCCTCGCTGAATGCCGGCATATACGCAGTGTTGTGAACAGTCCCCCCAGCGATTCTGTCAAAGATCCTCCAGGTAGGCTGCGAAGCAAGTCAGGGTAGCAGGGAAGTGGCTGGTCAGGAGGAGGAGAGAAGAGGAAAAGGGAGGAGGAGGGAGGGAGGGAGAGGAGGGAGGAGGCCGGAGGCAGGTAGGAGGGAGGAGAGAGGGAGGAGGGAGGAAAGAGTAGAGAGGAGGGAGGAGGAAGGAGGGAGGAGGGAGGAGGGAGGAGGGAGGAGAGGGGAGAGGGGAGAGAAGGACGGGGCTCACTTTCTCTTTTTGGATCGAGCATCGCGGGCACCATGCGGTAGCTGGGGTCTGCACTGTCGTCAATCATACCGCAAACTTGTCAAACGCGATGACTACCACGTTATCCCCCTGACTGTAGACCCTGCGGAACTCCGAGACGACAACCTGTGGAGCAGGCTCAGTCTCCTCCTCCTCCTCCTTCTCCCTCCTCCTTCCTGCTCGAACTCGTCGATCCTCTCTGCCTTGGTCAGGAACCGATCCTCTGCGGCAGGAGGGTCAGCTCCAATCTTCGCCGACAGCAGCAGGCACCGAGGTCGAACAAGTGGTTGCTAGTGCTGAGCTCCTCGAGGAAGAGAGTCCGGGGGAGTTTGGGATCCGGGACGAGCACCTGAGGTCGTCTCAGCATAGGAGGGAGGAAGAGGGTAGCAGGGGGTCAGGTACGTGAAAGAAGCTCGGGTCTTCGCTCATTGTTGGAGGTCTTGGAGGGTAGAAGACTCCTCAAGAGCGATTGCCATGCGCCTGCATGCGCGAGAGAAGAAGATCTGAAGCATGTGAGATGAGATCTAGCGAGAACAGTTCCGTTCTTGAGTGCATGTCATACGGACTACCGACTCGTGTCTGACATTTTGTCCAACAACCCTTTCCTCTCTCCTTCTCTACATCCTTTGCCTTCCTCTGCCGCTCACCGATTTCTCCTCTTACCCCAACTCCTCTCTCAAATCCTTCCACTCTCTCCTTCCTCTTCCTCCCTTACCCCATTTCTGCTCCTGCTCCTGCTCCTGCTCCTGCCCCTGCTCCTGCCCCTGCCCCTGATCCTGCCCCTACTCCTGCCCCTGCCCCTGCCCTGCCCCTGCCCCTGCCCCTGCCCCTGCCCCTGCCCCTGCTCCTGCTCCTGCCCATACTCCTGCCCCTGCCCCTGCTCGTGCTGGTGCTCGTGCTGGTGCTGGTGCTCCTGCTCCTGCTCCTTCCCCTCCTGCTCCTCTCCTACTACGCACAAGATGTCCTTTGAGAGTCGGAAGAAGCCGAAGGGTAGTTTTGAAGGGGTACTTTATAGTCAAAATGTCTCAGTAAAAGTAGGGTAGGGTCATAGTACCCACCGACCCGTCACAAAAAAAAAGAAAGGATTGACAAGTGGGAGGGAAGGGGAGGAGGGCAGGAAGGGAGGAGAGGAGGAGAGGAGGAGAGGAGAAGAGGAGAAGAGGAGGAGAGGAGGAGGGGAGGGGAAGGGAGGGGAGGGGAAGCACAGCTGAGAGGAGGGGAAGAAGGAGAGCGAAGGGCCGAGCAAGCAAGAGCGAGGGAAAGGAGCTTTCGGAAACAGGGAAGAACGAATGTGAGGGGAGGAAGAGGAGTAGGAGGACATAAGAAAGAAGACGGCGAGGAGAGCAGGGAGAGTAGTTGTTTCTCAAGCGAGGGAGAGAGAGGGACAGAGGTCAAGGAGGCTGATGATTGCAGCAGGATGTTGGACGAGAGACAGTGAGGATGGAGAGCAGAGGAGAAGAAGCTAGGAAGAGACGGGCGAAGCAAGCGGCATGGCGGGTACAGCGAGGGATCAGCCTGCACCAGGAGAGTCCGATTCAGGTTTCCATCGACCTCTCTGCTCCTTCCAGAAGCAGCCCGAGTCGAGGAGAAACAGCAGAAGCAGCGAGTCGAGGAGAAACAGCAGAAGCAGCGAGCCTTCGGGCGGAGATCGAGCACGTCAAGTATGAGCTGCAGCAGCAGAGGAGGGAGCAGGAGCAGGAGATAAAGGAAGCGCAGCGAAGGCTGCAGGAGGAGAGGAGAAAGTTTCAGCGACAGGCAGAGGAGCATGAAAAGGCGATGAGGGAGAAGGAGGAGGAGATCCTCAAGCTGCGGCAGAAGCTTGGAAGCCTCGAGGGCAACGTGGAGGAGGCGGAGAGAGACAAGCACGCGGCGCTGAGCTCGAAGCAGACGAGCAAGGAGCGGCTGCAGGAGATCAGTAAGGCATACAAGGAGCTCGCGCAGAGCACGATGGAGCTGAGGAGGGAGAAGACGAGGATGGGGAAGGAGCTGGAGCAGGTTTCGCAGCAGGAGCAGGCGCAGCGACAGCAGAACGTGAGGCTGTGCAAGGAGTTTCCCGAGAAGCTGGAGGAGGTGAGGAGGAGGATGAAGCAGGGGCTGAAGACGCTCTCCTCCATGGTGGAGAAGGCGAAGAGAGAGAGGGACGAGCAGATCCGGACGAGAGTGAAGGCCCTGCGAGGGGAGGGGCAGCGGCTGCGCGTGCTGGTGCGGGAGCTCATGAGAGCAAGTCCGAACCTGGAGGAGCTGGAGGACGGGAGGATGGAGGAGATGAGGAGGATGGCGGTAGAGAACAAGCAGCTGGTTGCCCTGCTGGGGGGAGACGCCCGTGCTCCTCGTCATGGGGACGTGAACCTATGGACTCTGTACCAGCAGGCGAGGGAGGAGGCGGACGGGGTGAGGAAGGAGCAGCGGTTGGTGAAGGAGGGGCTGCATGAAGAGCTGCAGTGGGTGAAGGGGAAACTGGCGGGGGCAGAGAGGGACCAGGAGGAGCAGAGCAAGGAGATGAAGAGGATGGCGCAAAGACTTCAGTTCCGAGATGAAAAGCTTCTCCTCCTCACCAAGGAGCTGGAGGCGGCGAGGGAGGAGTTAGAGACGCTGAGGAAGGACAAGCTTGCGGGCTCTGGAGGAAGCCGGAGGGAGGAGGCGGCAGGGGAGGAGGAGGAGGAGGAGGCTCGGGGAGTGGGCGTGGAGGGAGAGGACAAGGACGGTATCATCCATCAGCTGCAGGAGGACAAACGTCTGCAAGCTCAGGTGCTGCAGCACCTGCGGAAGAAGTGCAAGGAGCTCGAGCGAGTCCTGCAAGATTCTCGCAGGCTTTCGAAGCCCTCCTCCTCCTCCTCCTCCTCCGTGTTGCGCGAGCAGGAGGAGGTGCAGCGAGCTGGGCAGGTGGTGGTGAAGGAGGAGGAGGAAGAAGTTTTCTCGCGCATCAGTGAGGGGCTGGAGAACTTTCTGCTGGCTGCTGAGGACGCGTTCGAGGCACAAGCAAAGAGCTCCCTCCGTAGGCGCAGGAGCAGGGAGGTCTCCTCCTCCTCCTCTCCTTCCTCCGCTCTCTCTTCCTCCTGCTCAAGGTCAGCCGCTCACGACCCGGCACCAGCTCCCCTCCTCCGAAGCTCGAGCGGGAGGAGCGAGGAGGGGGCGAGCAGAAGGAGCGAGGAGAGGATGGGAGCGCAGGGAGCAGAGCTGATGCAGGAGGCGACAACTCGGTACGTGCGCGAGCATGTCAGAGCCCTCGATAGGAAGTTGACAGGTATACAACTACTTCCCCACCCCGTTACGCCCTCCTCCACCAACACCAACAGCACCAACACCTCCTCCTCCTCCTCCTCCTCCTCCTCCTCCTCCTCTCATCATCATCATCATCATCATCATCATCATCATCATCATCTGCTGCTGCTGCTGCTGCTGCTGCTGCTGCTGCTGCTGCTGCTGCTGCTGCTGCTGCTGCTGCTCCACCAATGCCTCCTCCTCTTCCTCCCTCTCCACCTCTGCATCATATTCTCCTCCTGCTCCGTACTCTCTTTTTCTTTCACTCCTCCTCCGCCGACTTGACCCTGCCCAACAGGTGAACCGCTCAAGAAAAGTAGCAGAGAAGGAGGAGGAGGAGGAGGAGGAGGAGGAGGAAAGGGAGTTGAAGGAGCCGCCCGCTCCCCTTCCTCCTCCTCAACCCGCTCCCCATCATCCTCATCATCATCTTCCTCCTCAAGGGATCCTCGACGGGAAGCTGGCGAGCCCCGGAGCTCAGTGCACCTGGAGGGAGGAGGAAACGTCCGCGCGGCGTTTCAACTTGAAGACAGTCAACCGTTCTCCATCGGTGCTGGCAGGCTGAGCTATGGAGAGTACAAGAGGAGGAGTGCACAGCGAGGAGCAGGAGCAGGAGGAGGAGAAAGAGGAGAAAGAGGAGGAGGAGGAGATGATCGGAGGTTGACGGTGGACAGCATGCCTGAAGTAGAGGAAGGAGACGAGTTCTTATGAAGCTCCATGATGAAGCAGAGTACAAGAAAATGGAGGGTTTTGGGGGGTTGGAGAGAGGAGGGGGAGGAGAGGAGGACGAGGACGAGGACGAGGACGAGGAGGACGAGGACGAGGACGAGGACGAGGACGAGGACGAGGACGAGGAGAGGAGGACGAGGACGAGGACGAGGAGGGGGGGGGGGCAGCAG